GTAGCGATCGAAGCAGGCATTCCCTTAGGGATTGTTGAAGATCCTGGGGCCTGTCCTCTTTGATACGCTTCCATTTTTGGGCGTCCCTGAAGAGCAAGCCAATCGGGCTGCCTGCCCCGGATTTCAAAAACAGGTGAAACGTCGTATCCACTCGCATTGAGTTGAGCGAGTATTCGTGACGGATCAAGAGGCGAGCCATCAACAGGGTCAGGTCGTTTTCCTGATCGTGCCCATTGTGTGATGCTCGCCTGCCTACGGCTCTGCCGGCATTTTTGCCCTTGCCGTTTCCTTTGCCTTTCTGCTGCATCGAGGCTGTCGTATTTGTACGACGTCTCTTTTGTCGCTGGCTCTCGTCCTCCTCCTGTTTGGCTTCGCCCTGGACTGCTCCGAAGAAGCGCTCGTGCTCCTCCATCGGAGACATCATGATGGGTCTGGCTACTGGCCAAGCACTGTAGGAAAGTAAGTGAGAGGACTACATGGCACTGCTTCCAGTGCCGGCCTTTGTCAAAACTGGCTTGCATGCACCATTGGCATGGTCTAGTGATGGTGGATTTCGTGATGGCAGCTAGCGTTAGCATTTTCGCCATGTGGTGCTCCCACTCCGGATGGTGGGTACTTAGATGCTTCTTGAGGCCAGATGCTGTCGCAGCCCATTGATGACACAGCGGGCAGTGAGATTGTAGCAAGCTGCAGAGCGGCTTATCCTTTAACAGAGACTGCCAGCCTTCGTCTCGTATGCGGTGCATGAGTTCGGCCCTGCACATAGTGCGCAACCAAAAGGGGCCAGAATTTTGAGAACAACCCAGTAAGACTTGCTGCAAAAAAAGCAGCTTTAGCACAAATTGTCCCCTTGCGCATCAGTGCAATCTCTCTCCTTTACTCTGTGAGTTAATTATCCTTCTTGGAAGCTTGCATGACCATTGTCACAAGGACCCCTGATTTTTTCAAACACCCAGAGGACTTTGTATGTGAAGCCCTGAACGATTGCCAAGGTCATTCCGCAAGCACCCCACATGAAATTGGAGTATAATATACCCCAACACCTGATTCCTATCATTCAGGCTCTACATTCAATCCTCAGAACCCGCATGACTTTTTTATGTTGGGACCTTCAGAGCAAGGCATTCCTAGGCTTACCCTAAACCCTAACCCTAAAACCCTTAAACCCTGGCAGGTTTGGAGCAGAAACGTTGCAAGACGTTGCCGTGATCTTGTCGGCACCCGAGGAGCTGGAGGGTTAAGCTTACTTACATAGGGTAATATTGAGGTTATATAGGGTTGTATTGGAGTCGTGTAGGGATAGACCCTGATTTTTAGGGTTTAGGATGCAACAACAGCATGTAGGTGTAACCATATGCGTACATGCGTATGCATGTGAAGGTTCGTAGTTCTATGCATATTACACTTGTACGTATACATGCATGTTCTTGCGTGTGTTACATACAAAAGTGCTTTTGGGTGGACACGGGCGTATGTATGTATATGTACATATGTATAAGATATATATTTATATACATATATACATACACATGTGCATATGCGTGCGTGTGTGCATGCATGTGCGTGTGTATGTGCCTACGTACGTTACATACCCTGTCCATATATGTATCTATGTATGGATGGATGGATGGATGGATGGATTCCTCATGTGTTACATGTACTGGAAAAAAGCGATAATTAAGATGTTCGGCATAAATATACAACCCCTCGCGCCTTACATGTGAAGTGCGTGTTTATCTATGCTTTAAACACAGGCGCACACTTAACATTAAACCCCAAACCCTAATTCCTAGGGCCTTAAAACCCTATACACTATATATATAAATGTATATGTATGTGGCAGTGAAGGACTATGCGGACTCTCTCAGCGAGGATGCTGAGAGGATGCTGTCATGCGTCCAGCAGATCAGGAGGGAACGGTGGAGGCCTGATTTAGGGTTTGGGGCTTGGGATTTAGGAATTGGGGGTTTGGGACTTGGAGTTTGGGGCTTAGGAGAAGCAACTGGAAGATGAAATGAAAACCAGGAAAAGGTTCAGAAATACAGTTGGGCCATCAAGGGATGGTGGGGTTGATAGCCTGTGGCACAGTACTGATGGACCTTAGCAGTAGCAATTAGGGTAGCAATCATCCTATTCATGAACTCCCCCACCTACGAACGAATACCCCGCAACATATAATGCCATTATGTAATTGGGGGGAATGGTTATCATTAGGGCATGGGGAGGTTTATTCTTAGGGGAGAAGATGAGCAATCCCCAACACCCCAAACCAACGTCAT